CAAATCAATAATTATCGATACTGACCGATATGAAGCACTTATATCATGATATGTTTTTCAGGCATATTGTCCAGCCCTAGTTTCTGGTAAAGTGTAAATTAGATAACATCAACATCAGGTGCCTGTGATTACATCATTACTCAGCATTTTGAAGGAGGTTTGTCCTATTAAAACATTTAGTTTGATGTTTATTTGCATTATTCAAATGATAATGAACATCAAGATGCGATAGAAAAAAACATCAGATGGCTTAGAAAGAATAGTCCAGCACTTTTCAGTCTGTTAATGACGTCTTAGAAGAGTTTCTAAATTGCCCATTAAACCGTATGGAAAGCAGTAAAGCAAAACAACTAACATTCAAGCAACGACTTCCTGAAAGCAGACTGCAAGATGATAAAAGCAAAAACACTGATTCTATTCACAGTCTTATCCTTTCATGCACTATAGATAAGGGATTGAACGTAGATCAATAAATAAATCAGCTCTCTCATCACCACATCAATCCATCTTTTCACCTTCCACTCTCTTTTTCCTCATTTGTAAATAAGACGTCAAGATATTGAAACTCCTCCTCTTATCCAGGCTGAAGACCATGGTCTTAACCATTCTGAGTCCCAAAATGAGTTGTTGTAACAGGACAGAGGGTATGTTTGACATAAACTAAATCTATAAACTCAGGGAAATAACATTACACTACTGTTAAAACACAGAGCCAGAAGTAACACTGTTTCATGCAGCAGGACCTGGTGCTTAAGAAAAATGAGGAACATCTTGGAAAAGAAATAGCTCAATAAAATTTACATACATGACTGGATGATAACATTACTTCTTCACATGCTATGCTATGCATACAGTTTGTCTGCGCTGATGAAGGTTAATGCTTAGAAAGGATGACACAACAAGGGGATCTGACCAGTTTTCTCACTTATTTGGCCAATAATTATTTGACTGCTTGTAGACTGTAAGCAAGACTGAAGTGTATGTCTAAAAAAGGGATTGAGCATGAGATGCTAACACCATGAGAACAAACATTGTTACTCTGACATTAGTACCTTTTAAAATGTACACATACTACACATGAATTTATGTAAAATATGTTTTACAGATCCGCCATTATATGTGGCAGCAGTTTATGCAATATATTTACTTTCCAAATATTCTCACATGTGCACGGGAGAGAAAGTGAAATACTAAGAAACTTGAAACAAATGGAAACATCACTCATTTTCAAAAATACTGTGACAAATAAACTATTTTAGGTTGCCAGATACATATTCAATTCCAAGGAGGAGTTTGACATCTGCTGTCCGTAAGTGGACAAAAGCTTTGCGGTCCAACATATTTTCTGCACTATCCGAGTCTTTATACACACAGGACTCTGAAACCGGACAAGCTGTCAAACATAATTATTTTCTCTCAGGACATTTACAAGAGGTGTTATATTCTGAAGGGTCAGAGGACTCACCTGTTTGACAAAATAATCTCAGGGGGCATTTAACCAACGTCATGAACCGTAGATATGCTTTGCTAGCATGGGTGGATCTGTCATCGGAGTCGACTGCAGCTGTACAGCTGAGGTAAGGTGGGAGTGCAGAGATATTTGAATCGAAGTTTGTTGATGCATTTCATGACAGATGGAGCCTAAAGTATTACCTCAACCCAATCATCTGTAAAGCTATAGCTACACATGGCTAAAATTATGTAAACTATTTGCAGCTGTAGTTAAAGGGACCAATATTTATTGTTCACATCATGGGGAAACATTGAAAATCGGCTGATTTAAAGATGCACTAAGACAATATCATGCATTTCATGCACCCAAAAGGCTCCACAGTTCTGTTACTCATCAACGGCGCTGGCCCACGGCAATGCCCCAGCACCACCAGAGGGCGCCCAAGAGAACCATCTGATTTAATTTTGTCCTGACAAGAATTGCACATTTTACACATCAAATTTTAAAAGCAAAAGTATTAAACCTGTCAACTTATAGATGTTATTTTCAAATATTTAAGTTAATATGCCAAACTTAACAGTGTGCATTTCAAAATGCAAATTAATTGGAGCATCTTTGCTTATTTGCAACTCCTGTAAGGTAAAAATCAATAGCAACACGTGTCGACATGCTGGTGTTTGGGGCCCCCAGTTAAAATCTGGTTAGGGCCCCAAAAAGGCTTGGGCCGCCTCTGCTTATTGATGTCAATAACTTTCTATCCATCTAGTTAAAAATCTAACTCACTGTATAAAGAAAATAACAGAAAAAGGCTTCAAAACTATTAAAATAATCCAAATAAAATAATAAGATATGGTAGATAGCATCATGAGTGTAACAATTATGTTATGTAGGCATCTGTAGAAATAATTGTTTCTTCTGTTTCAAATTCAATCAATTTGTATTTTTAGATGGCTGTGCAGCATAGTTCCCTTTTCCCATTAGCTTGAAATGTCACCATCACAGCATGGTAATAAACAATTAACCAGTTTTTAGAGTCCTGCAGTACGCGAGCGAGTCGCTTCGGTAATTTCTGTTTTCTTCGTCTTTTTGGGTTTGGTTTCCATTTTAAGGCATTTGAGATCATTCTAGCTCAGAAGCCTGTAAATTTCTGAACTTCTTTATATGTTTTCCACAATGCAATTAACTTCTAAATCAAAGTAGGATGTTGTCCTAAATGATGTGCAAATAAAGGCCACCGAGTGAATGACATCACTAAATAAACTCTATTATTTTGAGCCCCACCCAGTCAACTAACGATTTGTGTACAGTCATCAGTTTATTGTGAATGTCACATCTGCTGTTTTTCTCTTCCTCTTCTACACCTTTTATAACTTATTTTCCATGTAAAAACATAGTTTTCACAAAAAACAGAGATTGAAGTGGCACAAATATATATCCACAGTGTTCCAAGCAGAGAAGCAAAGAGGTTGCTGACCTTTGACCCCGGTGCAGAAACCATGAAATAATTGCATGCATAAGTAAAAAAGCAGTAAGAAGAAGTTTGATAAATTAAGTATATAAGTTAGGAGAAAAAGAAAAACACAATAAGTTTGCCAAACCTTCGCAGCTTGAAACTTTCCATCATCTGGAGCCAGCAAATCAAGAAAAACGTCTGCTGCCAGTAGCCTAACATACCAAAACGTTTAGCCAAAACATCTGAGGCTGCGTTGAACAGGGAGGATTTCGAGATGCCAAGGTTTGTCGAAGAAAAACAAAATGAAATAAAAAAGCCAGCGCGTTTAGTTACGCCAGCTTTGTCTTGATCTGTAGCGCCGGTAGCTTAGCTTACCTCAGTGGGGACAGAGAGTAAAGGCAAGGCGGACCTCAGGTAGCTGTACCGCATCAGCATTACCATGACAACGCAGCGAATCGTCTCCAAGAAGGCTGATGATGGCCTGAAGGTACAGACGCATGAAATCAGAGAACAGTAACAGACTGAGTTCACTTTTTCATCACACCTGTGACAAAATTATTTAATTTTTTTAAGGGAAAAATCTATCAAAACCAACCGTTAAAGTAATTCTATGTGGAAAAGTAATTTCCATGGAAACTGAACATTTGATGTCAACAGCTGCCGTCAAACATTTGCATCTAGACTCACCATCTCCATTAAAGTTCAGACTTTGACTAGGCCACTGTAAAACCTTCACATTTTGTCTTAGTTTTGCGACTTGTTGATGTGCTTTGGATTTTTGACCAACTTAAGCTTTGCTTCACAAAAAGCATGGCTGGAACAGAGAGCCGAAGTCCCGAGTTTTCACTCAGTTCTGCAGACCTGCAGACTGGTGAAACGAAGTCTGGCCTTCGTTTCACCAGTCAAGAGAATATTTTCTGAACAGGGAACGCAAAAAGTTTTATTAGAAAGTTCTTGCTTTTTTTTGGTAAGCAGTTGTTTTCGCCTTGGAGCCCTCCCATAAATGCTTACCCAGTCTCATTCCTATTGTTAAACTGTGAGAACAATAGGGGCAAATAAACCCTGCAGGGCTTCCAATGTTGTGGCTACCCTGATACGGTTCACCGGTCCTTTGGTTGGCTCCATTTTTGGATAATGGCTATTGCCGTTATGCCAAAGTCTTAGAAGCATCCTCCTCCAAACTGAGCTTGGTTTTCTATCCGTTTTGACTTTTTAACCCCTTAAGACGATGCTAACAGAAATTAAAATGAAAACTATGTAAGAAATAGATGAATCTGAAGGAGATTTCAAAGGTTTCCAGCAGATTATGTTGGATTGTGGAAACAATACTTGTTGGAGTTATTGATGTAATTTGGAGCCACTTTAAAAGCTGCAGCGGACCAGATCTGGCCCTCAGGCCACGAGTTTGACACATGTGGGTTAAGATATTTCAGCCTACCTCATGATGTCAGACAGGTTCTCTTTTACGTGATGAAGGGAAATCGGGCCAAATAAATGTGTGAATTACATGGCCAATTACTTTTCACATAAATTTATTTTGGTTTGAGATTATAATTTGAAACAGCTAAAGTTGCATAAAATACAAGTAAAGCATTTTATATCGACATTTTCAGCTGCTGTATGCTGATGTTAGAAGCTGCACAAACTGCACCTTTGCTCAATGATGAAGCCCAGGGAGGTGAGAGTAAGCAAAACGTAGCTGGTCATCCCGAAAATAGTTAACTGAGACAGCACCTAGGACAGAAACACAATTTCCATGAGAAATATAAGGAAAAAACACATAAAAGAAACTAAAATCAATATCATGGTTGGTAAAGAAACATCTGCAGGAGACCTTCATGGGAGAGCGGCCGTCAACCACACGGCTGCTCCACTTTTACTTGCTGATGCCAACCTAAACATGTCTGACCTTCAGCGCGAGTGCTCTGGCACCCAGTCAGCACTGCAGCTATTGGACTCAAAGTTTGCAGAGATGGTCCGGTCATCTTGACAGGGGATTTGACCACAGATGAACAGACCGCTGAGCGGTCCTAAAAAGGAGCCAAAACAACCAACAGTGGAGCAAAGATCCCATCCAGACTCCCACTGACCTTTTCCCAGCTATTTGGGACGTTCACACAAACACGAAGTCCTGGAGCTAAACTGTGTTCTCTAGCCTAAGGCATTGGCTGCGGGCAGCAGCTGGAAGCCGAGCGTCCCCTGAGGATGCCGCATGCTGTAAACTAAGGTTTATGTTTCTCTGACACTCAATACAAAGACTAACAGCCAGATCTCACTGCTCCCAAACCCAGGAGGAGACACCGTATACAGTCAGGATGAAATAAACCCATCCACTGGATGCAGCCATGCAGTGTGTCTTTACGTTTACCCTAGCATCACAGTCCATAAAATGGGTTTTACTTCATACCTCTTCATATGAGAGGATACAGTTATGGTGTCAACAAATCGGTGGGTGGGTGTTCTCAGCTTTTATCTGATTAAATGTATAACAGCCACACAGAAAACGTTGGTCCAAATATTTTTAATCAAATGTAAAAAGTCCTTTGTATTCGCTGTAAATGTTGTGGTGTGAAAAAGTGTTTGTCCCCTTCCTGATTTCCTTACTTGCTCCCCCAGCAGGCTAAAAGCAGTTTGTTTTGAATAGTTTTTATTTTTTTAGACACCACTAATAGTAACAGTAAAGACGGATTAAGCATTGTTGGCATTGTGCACAAATTGCCTGCCCTTTGACCTCACACTTTATTATTCCCAAATTATGATACCCACTCTGCAACTCTGACTTTTCATTACCTTTAACAATTTTCGACAAAAATACGGCAGGCTGCTGGCGCACTGTCCTCCCAACCCTACCTCCTTGGTTAGCAAATTTTCTGAAGATCAATCATGCTCATGTACGCGCTGATCAATGTGCTATCAGCGGGGAAACGACTTAATGCTGCAGAAAAACTGTAATCGCTGGTTCTTGATCTACCAATACTCTTCTAATATTATCGTGTGTTTGACGTCCTCCATTAAAACCTGTTTGGTCTTCCTCTATCAATGCTGTTACAAAGGTATTAATGGATGTGTATATCTTGTAATCTACATTTAATAATGAGATTGGTCTATAATTGCTACAGTGTTCCTCATCTCTTCCTTGTTTTGGTATGACTGAGATGATGCTTCACTCCATGACGGAGGTATTTTGTTGTTATTAAGAGTCCAATTGAAAGAAGCTGTAAGTATCGGTGTCAACTCTTCTCTAAAGGTCTTATACCACTCTGCCGGGTATCCATCACTGCTTGGCGATTTATTATTTTTTAATGCATTTATTGCCTCTTTTACTTCCTCCATTGTAATTGCTGCTGTCGGTGTCTCATTTTGTAATTTGCCAATTGTTGGTAAATCTAATGCATTTAAAAAGGTTCTCATTTCTTCCTCATGTGTAAATTCAGGCTGTGTATACAGTTTCTCATAATATTCTCGATAAATGCTCTCTATTTCCTCTGGATTATCTGTTAGTTCACCTGGGTTTCTAATGTTATATATCGCATTAACCCGATTCTGGTGAGCTAACTTTCTACGCTCCTACCTCCTCCGCCATCTTCCCAGAAGTCCAAATTTATTTGATTTAAAGAGCAGAAGACAGACACAACTAAATGTGGCTCAAATGTTTTACAGTGTAGACATCAAAGAAATTCAGAAACAAATGAGGAAGAAAGTAATTTGGATCTTTTAGTTTGGAAAAAGTTGCAAAGTCATTTGTGAAGCTTTGGGACTCCAGCGAACCACAGTGAGAGCCATTATCCCTAAATATCAATAAAAAACAACCCAAAGTGAACAAAAGCCCTCATATCAGAGCAGAATAATGTCAGACTCTAGTAATATTTAAACTGTACAGGAATAAGTGGTTAATTTTCAAACTCTTTGTGGTCCAGCATCAGGCTGCTGTTCCAGCTGTGGCGACCCGAAATGTTAGCTCCACATCTGGTGGTAGAACCGAGCTGCAAGCTCAGAAATGACTGTTATTACTGCGTCTCCTGACAACAAGCAGATTAACTCGTTACTCAGGCTATTATTTCTGTCATTATTATGAATGTTGGAAAACTTGGTCTGTTGGTTAGTTGAAAAAAAAAACCACTCCAGCACTTTGTTCTGAAATGTTATTTTAGTAAGTTACGCTAAAAACGTGTCTCTGCTGACAGTTTAAGTATCAACAGTGTCAGCTCAGATTTTGTTGTCTTTAAGTTGTAAATTATTGCAGAGAATTAAAGCTGTCATTCATTCTGTCCTGACTGTTTAAAACGGGACAGACGGAAAGAAACAAGAACGCAGTTCAATAACTGCTCAGTCCCTGAACACAACCGAGGCTAATTAAACTCTTATTTATGAAACGCATAAAGTGAATTAAACTTGATCCTGAAAATGAAACTTTTCAAAAACTTTAAATGCAGAAAGAAATCACAAAAGGGTGTAATGGTTTGTTTGATTAGAACTGAAAGTTTCAAATGATTTAAATGCATCAGGATTGGACCTTCTTGTTGCTAGGCAACAGATGGAAAGCAGCATCGTCCTTTATTTGTTTAGTAAATAGAAATCATAAGGTCTTATATCTTCCACCTGCTACTTTTCAAACAAATAATGTAAGATTGTGGCAAGATAATTTGTTTTAATTTAATCTCTTCTTGTTTTTACTTTTTGTCTGTTTGAAATAAATAAATAAAATACACTGAAAGAAAATAAAATTATAATTAAAATAGGACTAAGAGACAGGTCCAAAATTATTCATACCCTGGTAAATTTAATCTGAAAGTCTATTTTAATCCCACCAACTTGCTTCATGTTGTTTATATAATAATGTTTTGGACTGGACATGACTCTGAACCTGGAATTAATCACATTTTTAACAACTCTGCATCGCCAAAGATAAACAAACAAAATACCAGTGAAAACATGTAAAAAGATTCTTCAATGATTACATAATGTTAACAGTTTTTTTTTATGTTTTCCATATTGTGTTATCTTTTAAGAGTCTCAGTTGGATTTTAGCTAAGGCGTATCGTTAAACTCTTAAAGTGGTTTGTGCTGAAATAGTTCTGTTGTTGTTTTTCTTAAGAAAGCAGCAAAAAAACACAAAACAAATAAAAGCTTTCTGATAAAGACACACTAAGTGCATCAGCCCTGCATTAATTTAATCATAACTTTATTATACTTCCTATTTTTACCAGAAGAGACCAATTTCCTGATAAAAACTAATGCTGCTGCCTTCAGTTATCTCTTAGCCTGGTTAATGTTGATCTAATGATGACGAAAGCTTCATTGCTTTTATGTTTTTACGACTGAATTAACGGAGAGCCCGTTTGCTGTCCAGCACTGTATCATCAATTGTCAGACTAAATAACCGGCTTGAGAACATGTGGGTATAAATACATAACCGTGACATGATTTATTGTTTGGGCAAGGAGCTCACTTTGTTATTTTCCCCTCTGAGTCCTGATTGCTGCATCCTGAAGGCTATTTGGGTTGGGAAATGGTTGACTCGACAATTAAGGCGTTTGTGTTCACTGCCGGACCACCAGCTGGCGTCTCGTTCGCCAACAGGGAGGGGAAACCTCAACTCAGAGGGGAAGACGTGTGTGTGTGTCTGTGTGTGTGTTTTGAAAGCGGACCGCAAGCGTAAGAAGAAGTGTAGCGATCAGAAAAGGGAAAGACACGACATCTTATTTTGCCGTTTCAAAGAGGATGGGCGTGACAGCACTTTTGGGCTGACCAAAACTATGCCTGCAGGGAAAAAAGCAAAAAAACGCTTCCAAAGATAACTCCTGGGGAGACCTGCTTCCTCTTTCTCCTCCGGCTGGAAGAAGGGGGTCTCTTGGCGTGTCGAGTGGAAAATAATAGACATAGGTTGTTTTAAAAGGCAACGCCGATCCGTCATCCTGTCATGATGTGGGGCTGAGTTGATTTTTTACTGCCAGATAAGTACAGGACTCGACTCCGCCATGAAGAAGCCACAACAAACCGCTTAATTGGCCCAAATAATGTTGGCAAACAAATGCAGCTGAGCGGCTGGAGCCACCTTCACTGGCCATCTCATGCTTGATTTGAGCAATATCAACATCCAGCGCCGGTTTAGCATCGCTAACATTTCTACTCTGCAAAAACACTTAATCTTACCAAGTACTTTGTGTTTTATTTTGGTCTAACTTATAGTGTGAATATCTTAGAATACTTGAAAAAAGATCAAACTAACTTACAAGTAATTTTTGGCAAGATGAGCTTGTTTTAAGTTAATACTTCTTTAATACAGTTTAAAATTTATTGTATTTCAAGTTAAGATATTTGTTCGAGAAACCAGACCAAAGATGCTTGGTATAATTTTCAGTGTAACTGAAGTTTTTAAGTGATATGTGAAAGAGAGAGACACGTACCGTTTTGCTTTCAAACAACTCATGGTAAGTCCAAAGCACCAGCAGGAAATGTAAAGCCACATAGACTTGAAATGTCAGCGACCATTTGGGACCATGAGGTATTTCATTTCCAGTTACCTGGTCCAAAAATAAGAAAGATTTAGTCAAGGCATTCTGAACATTTGTCATGTCAAAATTTAACTTAAAACAAATTCTACACCTTTCAATGCTTTCACAGACTGAACATTATAAATACATCGTTTCACATGGAGCAACTTTTTTGGCACAAAATTATTCTTAGACAATAAAATTTTAGTCTGGTCAGTTCTGCCTATTTTAATCTCCTTTCAGAATTATGTGTTTTATTGCGTCTTGTCAATCTAAATCCTAATAAGCTGCTGCTGGCCACGCCCCCAACTCAACGTTTAAACTCACATCTGAACATGGCTGCAAACACATATGCAATTATACAACTGTACATGCTTGAAAAGCATGAGTAGAGCCTCCTGTACAACCAGCAAGAGACAATAACCCTAACACTTACCCTAACAAAACACTTTTCTCTTCCAGCAGCCATTGTACAGCGCATACAGCGGTAAAACCAGCTGACTAAGTGTTTTGGAGCTTAGCTTGCGTTGCTAGATGACTTTGGATTCACCGGGGTTGTTACGCCACAAAAAACATTAACTTATTGCCATAAAACATGCCTGGGATGTTTTTAGAAGTAGTAGAGACCCAAATGAAAAAACAAAAATGCTCAAAATGTGAATTTTGCATAATATATCCCCTTCAAGGAAGACGTAAACAATTAAATCAACACTGTGGAGCAAAATATTCCAGACATTTTTTGTGCCTGATGACAAAACGCTGAGGGAGCTACATGGAGTGACACAAAACGAGGAAAAACTCAAAAGGCTGTCTGAGCCGATCGCGGTTATAAGCGAACAGCAAAGCGATGCTGTAAAAATCTGATAAGTAATTAGCAAACCACAACCAGTGGACCAAAGAGAAGCTGTTTACAGGCACTGACCAGCAGAAAAGACCTCATTCTCCAATCAGTGGTTCAGGAAAGCGTCTGGATCTTTAAAAGTCTGAATGAGTTTTATGCAGAATAAGCTGCCATGGAAAGGCCTTAAACATGAAGGAATAACGACAGACCGATTCCATATCTGACCCAAACCCTTCTGAGAACTCGCAGACTCCTTCCTATCCTCAAATAAGAAACGTAGCTGAGGTTAAAATGTTTTATGTAAACTGTAGTGTTTAAATGGTGCGCTAAAGCACCAGCAGTAGCTTAAGATGTCAATAGTACTCAGTCTCATAATACTGGACTTTCATGTGAGAGAACAGCTGCACATAATCACCCAGGAGCCCTGGTTCTTATGCCATTTGTGCATTACAACACAAACGAAAAGGAAAAAAAAAAAACAAGACGTAGAGAAAATACAGAATCTGCACACATCTGGTTATCACAGCTAAATGATTTCATTTTTTATTGAAAAATATAAAAGGGCGACACATTTAAGACATCCCTGAATGATTTTTTACGTAAAAGTGGGTCAAAAAGAGCTGAACATTTTACATATGGCCTTAAATTTTCAGCTCAGTTATGTTCTTAAAAAGAAATGTGGGATTTATTGGCTGCAGTTCCTTCTGCCGGACAGCGAGGACTTCTCTAACCAATCTGGACATTTTTCTTTATGTTGACCCGTTGTGTCCGAAACAGTGAGGTTTATGATAAAACTGCAACCTTTTTGGAGCAAAATGGTAAGGAAAAAATAGATAAAAGAATTGTCTTGTCCTGTAATCCTTGGATTTTCCCATAATCCTGAGGAACCAACCCATCACATGTGGTTCCCCCCTCATCCCACCCTGACCGTGAAGGTATTCTGCTCTGCTTATTCTCAGCAGCACAACATCCAGTCAACCCTTCATTTTACCTCCGTCAGTGAAACTTGCCTTCATAAATCCAAAATACTCCACTGAAATTTCAACCAGAATCTCTTTAATGCCTTTAAAGTGATCTGTTGGATGCAAAGTCTGAGAGTTTTTTTTTTTTTTCCCTTGTTCGCTTGTGGGACTAAATGTGTGACACCAAAGGCGTTATTTCAAAGCAAACCACTGAAGCGTTCAACTGGAACCTTTATTTTTTTCTGCTCCAACACACACATGCATTCACAGTTTACTGCATGCGGTTTCAGTCCTGCAAACTCTGTTTAAAGACGCTGAAACTGAAGTTATTGTGACGCCTGTACAGAGGCTGTGCAGCTTTTATTTCATGTGGCAGTTTCTTGTAAAACTTGTAAAATATATGAATCCTTCAAGAAAGAATGCTCTGAGTCATTCGGGCCTGTGTTTTGTGTGTGTCAAAATGATTGGTAATGAAGCCTGAGGGCTTTTCACATTTTTTCCCCCCTTCTCATTGTTTGTCAAGAATGTTGCAAACCTTGGGATTGTCGACGTGGTCACCGAGACGACGTTTACCGGGTTTCCAGCTCGGCCCTTTGATGAAAGTTGACACCTTGTCACTGACGGTTTTGTAAGTTCTGGATCTTTTCCATAAATATACATAGTAGTGCAACTGAAAGAAAAAGAAACACACGTCAGACATCAGCTCACAACAAAACATTTACCTGAAATGCGACCAAACAAAGAGCCGCTATAATTAATCTGGAGCCGCAGCGTTTCTGCCGTCATTAGGCAGGACATAGCTCACGCTGTGCTCTGCCAACGGCGCGGGCAGCGACACTAATTATAACATCCACCTGGTATTTTATTTTATTGGCTTCTTTCACCTCAGCTGGGCAGTTTGTTTGGAATAGAGTAATAATGTTATGGTTAGGAAAAGGCCCCAGAGCCAGCAGAGGGAACATGAGCTCAGCCTTCACCTATAGAAGGTGCTCATTATCAGACGGGAGGACCAACCTGAACGTAGAGGATCTCAAACGTGTTGATGGGAAACACCAGGCCGTATACGACTTTATCTGACTCTGCAGCAAACGTACCTGAGGAATAAATGCAGAGCAAAATAAGATTCTCTGAGAAAAGTCTCTGGCTAGATCAGGAGTAGCTTCTATGCACC